GAGAACTCGTAAATCAAAACTTAAAGCTGCAAATATGGATACATTGAAGAGAAAAAATAAAACTTGACATGTGTGAGAGTTGTGGTTTTACAAACTCTTGCTCCATCTCCATACCTCCTAACCAATCATGTGTAACAACATTTATAATCACTCTTTTTATTGCCTTGGTGTTTGATGTAGCTTGTTTGGCGTCTTAACCCCCTTGATTCCATGTTGACTCCTCAATACCTTGACGGTTTGAAGAATTTAGCTGAGCTTGATGGTTAGTCCCTCTGCAATCGAACTGTCTTGCTTGTCGACTTGCCTTGATACCCTACTTTGCATGCTTGACTTGGGATTTTTCTGGCTTTATGGGCTGTGACGACTTGGGGGCTAAGACATGGTTGATGTCATGCTTGACACCTAGGTGGTTGATGGGTTAGGACGGCAGGTGTTAATGCACGCGTCCCTACCTGTTAGAAACCGATTTATCCCGAGTTTCTATATTTATTATTATTATTATTATTATTATTATCATTATTATTATTAGGATAATTCTTATTATGGTTAGTAGTCTTTTAATCATATTAGGTTTATTATTAGGGCTTTCTAGAATCTCCTATAAATATGTATTTTACCTATTCATTCGGTATCAATAAGAAGAATATTAAGAAAACTCCTAAACCCTAATCTCTCCCTATCCTCTCAATTCTCGATCTCAATCCCTCTAAAGGCCTAGGCGATTCTCTTCTGTTCTTCCCCAAATTCTTCTCAAATCCCTGAATCCCCAATTCTGTCCTATAAACCCTAAATTCCCAATCTCTAGTTCTTATCTAGAAATCCATTAGAAACTTTGTTTCTAACATTTGGTATCAAAGCCCGGTTCGAGAATTGAGTTCGTCACAACTCTCAACCGGGGACGAGTTCTATAACTGGTTCGACGATGAGCTCGTCAAAGCTCTCGAACATGTCATGGGAAGTGATGCGGGAACAGGCTCGACGTATCGTCGAGCGTTGGAGTTCCGAGGAGCTGCCGCCCATTCAAGAAGAGGCGGCGCCCGAGGCGACATGGTCACCAAAATTTTCAGAGCTGACTTGGGCACAGATGCGAGCACAAGCTAGACGAATCATTGACCGATGGAGCTCCGAGGAGCTGCCGCACCAGAAGGAGCTTGCAGAGGTCGAGGAGGCTAACGCGACTCAATTACCACCACCACCAGCAGTTGAAATTACCACGGTACCTATTCCAGCTGTTGTTGAAGACGACAATCCGGATGTCAAGACTCAACACGAGTAGCAGCCTCTGACATCATCAGTTACCACGACTGCGGCTTCACCACCCACACTATTTTCAGCGATTAAACAATCTTCCAAGGCGCCGATGGTACTTTTCGCGGTCGTGAGTGAAGAACAAGGTGCTCTTGCTTCTTCCATCCTTGTTCCCGACAGTGAGAAGACCAACGTCTCTGAAGAAGAAACCCAAACCAAGGGTTTGGAGAGGAGACCAACGGCGGGTCAAGTAGCGAGCTGGAGGTTTCGGAGGAAGCCGAGGATGGACGAGAGGAGTCCTAGGCTGCCGCTTCGGCCATCCATACCGCTCCAAATGACATTGGGGGCTCGCCCATGTCGCTGCCAGCCGCAATCCAGGAGATTCATTCGTCACCGGAAGCTGGGATGGAGGCGAAAATGAAAGACCACGAGGAGGACTCGTCGGCACCGCCAGTCGCGCAAGGAGCGCACAGAGTGTTCGTAACATGGGGATTGGAGGAGACCGGAGCCGGAATCGACAGTGTACGCGATGTAGAGATGTCGGAGCTTTGAATCGCGCACGAAACGCTGCGATTGGCGGTGGGTTCCGTCGCGCCGCCGAGTGGAGGTAAGTTAAGGTTGGCGGCAAACTTCTCTCCTTGCCGCGGAATGGGTCTCTCGCCGGTGAACGAGTTGAAGAGGAGGCCGCCGGATATGGAATCAGAAAAGGGTACGATGGAAGCGATTATGAATCTTCTGGCGCCGTATCTTGAGCGGCGAGAGCAGTCTGTGGCTTCAAGGATCCATAGTGGAACAAAGGAAGAGATGGAGGCATTGTCGGAGGAGGAAGCAGCACGAGTCGCCCAGACGCCGCAGACTTTTGTCGAGGCCACGACGAAGGTGAAGACAAGGGACAAGGTCGGACGACTTCTGTGCCGTTAGGACGGGGTGATCGTAGTCGGAGGACGAGAAGACGAAGGGAGGTGGTGACGGTAACTCCTTCCATAGTGGGTCAAATCCTGGGCCAACCTTGACGTGTGGCTGATTTTTCTTAGGCCGCGCGGGTTCCTAGGCCTTCGGGAGTGACGATTCAAGCTTGGGGTGGTCGCGTTTAGGCCTTGGTGGGACGAGGCCGATGGGAGCAAGTGGGCCGCACTTTGAAATGAAGCAGACCAAGGAAGATCTGAAGAAGTAGGCCGAATTAATTCCTGGTCACGGGCAGAATAAAGACATCTCTCACAGGCTTCAGGAGGAAGTTGGGCTGAGTAAGCAAAAAAAGAATGGGCCTCTCAAGGACTGGCCTTTAAAGTGGGTGGGCTTGAAGAAGTGTATTGGTTTGACAAGTGGCTTTTTAAGAGAGCATAGTCCAAAAGCAATAAGAGAAACAATCTATGGGCTAGCTCCAAGGAAAATTTATGAAGGTCTTGATGAGTTCGTACTTAAAGATGAATTCTTGTGCAAATAAGCATATTTGGATGTCTTGAGCCCATCGAGGAAGATGACAATGAAAGAAGATTTGTTGGAGTTGGGATTTCTCGAGAAAGCATGGTTTGGGCCCTCAGAAATGAAATTTACATCTTTTGATCAACACACGAAGTTCAGAGCTAGAAGTCCAATTGAAGAGATGGAGCATGATTGGAAGAAAAGAAAGCGCAAGAAGAGAAGAAGCGACCATCAGATTGGGCGAGCTGGTTGGAAGAGATGGGTCGAGCCGGTCAACCTTGAGGGCAAGGTTGGTATGAAGGGGGAGGAGATGTTAGAAACCGATTTATCCCGAGTTTCTATATTTATTATTATTATATTTATTAGGGTAATTCTTATTATGGTTAGTAGTCTTATAATCATATTAGGTTTATTATTAGGGTTTCCTAGAATCTCCTATAAATATGTATTTTACCTATTCATTCGGTATCAATAAGAAGACTATCAAGAAAACTCCTAAACCCTAATCTCTCCCTATCCTCTCAATTATCGATCTCAATCCTTCTAAAAGCCTAGGTCGATTCTCTATGTTCTTTCCCAAATTCTTCTCAAATCCCTGAATCCCCAATTCTGTCCTATAAACCCTATATTCCCAATCTCTAGATCTGATATAGAAATCCGTTAGAAACTTTGTTTCTAACACTACCACCTTAGGGAAATGCCATGCTTGACACTTTGATGGACGGAGGTGTCTATGTTGACTCACATTAGATGACGTCATGCGTGACACTTAGGATGACGTCATTCTTAGAGTTCGGCGACAATGAGCGTGTACACTAAGAATATCTCGCATGACACATGAATGACCCAAAAATCCATCATACGTGTCCAATTTAGATCAATTTAATTCATATAAATCAACAACTCATTGAGCTTAATCAATACGATATTAGTAAATTTTATTTGCAAACAATACAATTAATCATGGATCAAGAAAGTGTTTTTAAATTTACGCTTAGGCATGCCTAGGCACTTGGCAACACCAAAACACCTCGTGTAAGAGTGTCACTGCGAGTTAGGAATCAAGAACACATTGTGGAGTAAGGAGACACCTACATGTCGCTTAGGCATAACTAGAGTGATCTGGGTAGGCAATTTTAAAGGGGTAAATCAACATATCCACAAACTCAGATCATCTATATCAATAGTTTCAATAGCTCAAGTACTTTATGAGTTGGACTATCAGCCGATACGACTGGAAGTCACGGGGGCGGCCCATGGTGTATGGACTCAATCTTATTTGGGTTTGGATTTCTGGGCCAGGTCTGTAACTGCTTTTCCTTTACCAGATTGGATTAGGGTTCGACCTAGGAGAAGTACTATAAATATTTCTATACTCCTCTGTAATCTGTATCTCCTAAAGTATAGTGAAACTGACTCTCTCCTTCCCGTGGACTAGCTAACACACATTGTGTTAGTGAACCACGTAAATCCGTGTGTCGTGTGTGTTTTCATTTTTTTTGCGTTATCGAATTCTCCTATTTCCCGATCCGCAGAGCAACAGTCGTGACAAAACATGTGAGCTATCATTTGAACTGTAAATAGAGCGTACTGTATATTGTTATTTCATTCATTATACCGTGTAAATTGATAATTTTACTTCCAATACCTAAGCACGCTTTATGCAAGCTATGCGCTAGATAAGAACCCAACACGCATCTTACACCTAACGCATTGTTCAACCTTGCCATAAATACATTTTATCAATACATTGTTTATAATCATAGATACCTTCTCACATTTTACATGAATAAGTAATCTGATCATTTCACCAAAAATAAAAATAGAACTAAGCCGATAAGCATTAGTAACTAAACAAAATCAGATGGTAAAATCAGCTATACTCTAGTGGGTTGAATATCGAAATCGGCAGTCAACCACTTCTGCAGCAAAATTGGCAAAAAAAAAAAGGCAAAGGGGAAATATAGGAGTAGAAATATTAACCTTTTTTACATAAAAAATAACCCAAGGAAAGGTAATGACTGTTACGTGGACTGGTTATTCTTCTCACCATACTCTCAATCAAAGCTAATAATTTTCCTCATTAATCTTTCATTGAATTTGACCCTCCCAACTAAATTAAATAAATTGCCCAAACAGCCATGTTTAAGGAAACCACACAAAAGCTTGAAAGGACCCTTTTCTTCTCTGCAAGAGTTGGAATTGACCTCAAACTCCTTTGCAGCTAAAAGAAAATTTGAAGCTTTTTCCTCTTTTGTCTTGCCTAAGCAATATAACCTCTCCTTTCTTTATCCCCCACCACCACCCTTTCTCTTTCACTACGTTCTCCCCATTGATTCAGTCGTTTGCCAAAAAGCAGTTTGTTTTTGCTCTCTTTGAAAAAAGCCCACTTCTTGATTCTGCAGGTGGGACTCTCTCAGAAACCATGGGGCTCAAGGATCTCCATCTCAAGCTCAAGGTTTGCCCTTAAAGCTTTCATCTTTGGTTTGCAAAACTATTGCACCCATCCCCAGAGAAACGACTTTGCAATATGGTGGTGTATAATACAAGCAAGCATTCTGCAACTTGCTGGCTTTCATGAACTGTTTTGTTTGTTTATTGAAAATGTAGGCACTCAGGCTAAGGCGATTGCTCATAGGCCACAGGAAGAAGAGAAGGGGAATTGGATCTGGAAAGAAGCCTTCATGGATGAGACCAATCTCCCATGGCTACCATGTTGTTGAAGACCAGTCTTTCAGAATTGGTAGAGAAGCAGCAACAGCAGCACCATGTGATTCTGTTGTTGTACAGAGAGAGCAGGTTGAGGAGATTGACTTGTGGTTTTTTGGAGTGTTTGATTCTCAAACTGGAGATAGAATCACAAAGCACTTGCAATCCCATCTCTTTGATAAGCTGACCAAAGAGGTAACAGAATCCAAAACAAAACCAAAATTTTTTAGCTTTCATCATGTTTCAGTTTCACTTGTTTCTGACCTACCTCTCTTACGTGTTTTTGCAGTCTCAGGTGAGGAGAAGGAGTAGAGAGGCAATCAGAAAAGCATATCTTAGTGCAAGAGCCAAGATAAGAGAGGGATTGAAGCCGGACGAGATTCTGAGAATTGGGTCGGCGTCAGCAATGGTGATCAATGCAGAAAAGCTTCTAGTTGCCAGCATGGGTGACTACAGAGCTGTGGTTTGCAGAGATGGCGTGGCTCATGACTCTGGCGATAAGCACAGCTCGTCAAGAAGGCACTGGACTCGCCGACTTTTCTCAGGTAATGTGGCATTTTTAGTGCTTTTGTCATGATAGTTGACTTTGGTTTATTAACTTTGATCTGAGATAAAGAAAAGTTGGCTTGCCAGGATGGAACAGTGGATCTGAACATAAGAAGGTGAAGGGTTCTTCAGAACTCGGTATCCGGGTTCAGAAGATTGACTCGGATACCGAGTTTGTAATCATAGGAAGCAATGGCATATGGGAGGTAAAGTAAAGCATACTGTACAGACAAGAAGGATACTAAAAAAAGTCTTCTGAACTAGCCATGATTTGTTTCTCTCAGTTTTCTAATTAATGGTGATGTTTTGGTGCAGGTGATGAAGAAACAAGAAGCTGTGAGTCTGATTCGGCATATGGAGAACCCACAAGAAGCTGCTGAATGTTTGACAATGGAGGCTTTAACTAGGATGAGCAAAAGCTGCATTTCTTGCCTGGTTATTCGCTTCGACTAGTGCCAATGCCTGCTTATATCGCATAACAGCAGCTTGCAAAGTTTTAGCAGCACCAAGATTATTTTCTAATCAGTAGTAGTTCATCCTAGAAATGGTGAGATGCCTGATGTTTTTTCCCCTTTTCTATAATGTTTGGAGGCTGATTCTAGTTTCAGAGGTTGATTGGAATCTCCGTAAAACGAGGGAATATTTAGCTGAATGCAGCTAAAAGGCTTCTTGTACTTTCAGATTGACAAGTTTGCATTGAGATCTATGTACCCTGATACCTTGTCGATACAAACAGAGAGTTGAGGCATCTCTATTTTGTCGTCCACTAACATTTATATGCGATTATATTTACCCAGGAGCTGCAGGTGAAAGCTGTTTTATGCCAAGAAACGAAACAATTTCATCCAAATCAGTATAAGTAGTGTTTTTTTCCTTTCTTTCTACGAATTAAGAGTTCTTTCACTCGCTTGTAACTGTTGCTAATGTCCAGAACAAGCCAGTGACAGACATGAAAAAAAGCTACAAGCTGATTTGACTCATTTGACCATTTAACTGGAGCTGGAACTTGAATGAGAATGTACAAAGATACAACAAGGTGAGGGATGGGTTTAACTACCTCTCCTGATCGAAACTCGGGTAAATTGAACAGTGTACACAAAATATTAACAACTCACGACCCCAACCAGCTCCCACAACAACAAAATCAAGTGGCTTTTCTAACCTCGGAAGCCTTCGTGTCTGTCAAGCAGGTAGCTTCTTTTCGCTAGTCTTGCTCCGGAATGGTGACAGTAAGGAGAAATGGCGAGAAGCTGCAATCATTTTCAGTCAGGATATATGGTACACAAAGAGTATGTTCGACTGCAAATGTTCGACTGCAAGGAGGTAGTGGGGAGAGAGAAGCTTACATTTTTGAAGAGTAGTTGCAGCAGTAGGGGTTTCATCTTGGGAGATGAGATTTTTCAAAGTATTATGAGCTGATAAATAACCGGAAAGTCAGGATGTCAGCTAGAACTATTGTCATAAAAACAACCAATCACAAATTATGCATGATTACACCTATCAATAAGATTAGTTGTTGGGTTGGGTGACATGCTGGTGATGGTCTGGCCATAAGGAGGATACAACCACAAACAACAACCCAGAGGAGGAAGGTTATAAGTTATCATGATGGCTCTTTACCTTCATTAGATGTGGTTGCAGCAGCATTTGCAACACCATCATCTGCCTCAAAGCTCTTGATGCTCATATTATCTACTTCAGAGTTACGGTCACTTGTAGCAGCATGACTCTTCCTTGCAAACTTCAGCAGCCTTCTAAACCCCTTTGGAGATTCCTTCACTTCAGACTTGTCAACAACTTCAGGGATCTTCTCTAGTTTCAGGTTCATGGGATCAGAGACGCGAGCTCTCAATGTCTCAGTACTAGTAGTTGTTGTTGGTGGCTGTAGTAAGACAGTTGGTGGTGCTTTCCCATACTCCGAGTTTCTAGTGCATGGATCTTCAAGAGAAGAGTTCCTGGCAAATGGTGCCTGGTATGGTTTCTCATCAACACTACTGTTTGAAACCCGTGAAGATTCCTTGGCTACCACGCTTGCATTATGAGCCATAACCTAAGAACAGCAGGAGGCATTATTATAAGTAGATTCAAAACTAGGCACAAGGTGGTCTAAAGCTCACATGTATGATTAGTGACAAAATGGGTGCGTTTGTTTCAGCTTTTACTTTTTTTCTAAAATTTTACTGAAATGAAGGAAAGTGTTTGTTTTGATCGTTTTTCTAGAAAAATAGAATTGATATGCAATATTATTTTAGCAATAAAAAACAGTTGATTGCATGGTAGAAGTTGGTTTAATAATAAAATAAAAAGGTTATTCTCAACTATCATAGATAACACTTGAAAGAAACTTATTAGCTAGGAGGCTTTTACATTTGGATAATTTGTCAGATTTAAGATGAATAGTTATTCTACAAACACCCTATGATATTCACAACAGACATGATCAGCACTAGGTTAAACAAACACACTCTGATATTCACAACAAACCTGATCAGCGCTAGATTGTCCCAGAGTTTGATGTCGAGTAGATGCTTGGCTAGTTCCTTCTGCCACCGTATCAGTCTTCACCTCAGAGTTTGAAATTTGCACCCTCACAATATCTTCTTCAGAGGTGTGCGATGTAGGAATAGAAGACTGCTTTACACCTTGAGCAACCACAGAACCATCAGAAGTCATAACTGACTTGGATCCATTTCCATCTTGTGTCGTTTCAGTAGCTACCGCTTTCCCCTGGACAACAACATCAGATGCTTTTGGTGTTCTAGTTTTTAGCTCAGGAAGAGATGCAGCTTTGCCTTTATCATGGTTTACAATTGCATATATCTTCTTGGTCTCGGGCCCATTAGCTAGTTTTTGTTTTGATGCCATTGGCTCACCACTCTTTGGCTTAACTGAAGATGAAGGTGCAAGTTCAGTCTTCCGTGGCTTTGCTGGAGCAACAAGATGACTGCTATTTACTTTAGGCTCAGATAATCTTCTGATCCGTGCTGCCATGGATGCCTTCGTATCAGTGGTTACAGTGTTGTCTTCCTTCTTCAACTCGGGCAAAGATGACACTGACCGACTTGCTCTATTTCCAGCAGATTGGCTTCCGGTAGTACTCAACTTGCTGGACTTCGAGGCCTTCACAGAATCACTAGAAGAAAGATGTTTTATAGACGACCTTTGTAGAGGTGATGATGGTCCAGGTTCTGAATCACTGAATTTTGAACTCTTGTGAGAAATTGGTGAAAGTTTCGTCGGTAATGATTTCCTGGTTTGCAGTGGGGTTGACTGAGCAGGAAGTGAACCACCTTTGGCAGCAATTCTCTTTTGCCTTTCTAGCTTCAGAAGAGCAAGACGTTTCATTTCTTCTTCTTCCTGAAACAGAAGAGGGAAGAAAACGGGGTTGAAATATTAAAAGCAGGAAATTTTCATTCGGAACAGAAATGAAATGCATGTTTCATGAATGATGTAAGAGAAATGCACCCTCTCTTTCTTCATTTTCTGGAGATCTGCTTTAAAGCTTCTTAGCTTTTCAGCTCGTGCCTTAGCTTCCTCTAATGGACTTGACTTCGAAGGCTTTCCCTTTCTGATTGGGCCCACCGTCCTTTTCTTGTCTGAAGAATCTGGTGTACGTTTTGACCTAGGACCCTTGTCTGATTTTCTAGAGCCTGGATTGACATCATTCTCTGCCTTCTTACCTTTCTTACCGCCGTGGTCAGCAAGGACCTCCATATCATAATCTAAAGCAGGATCATAACCAAGCATCCCTCTTTCTGTTTCACGCTCATGCACCAACGTTAAATCATCCGGTTCATACTTGACAATGGCCCCAGAGACTTCTGGCCTAGCTGATATAAACTCGGCATCCATGTCAATAGCAGCATTGCTTCCTTTAGTACTTTCACCTTGATATTGCAAAGGTGACCTTAATGGAACTATGTAAGAATCACCATCATCCATGTCTTGTTGTGATGACTTCTTCCTATTCTCATATCTATCCACAGCAAGTGGGTCTTCGGTATTATAGCCTGAATGATTTCTCTGCCCGTCAACTATGAAATCATCATTAGCTGTTCTCCTATATCCAACCCTCCTACCATCTAGCTCTGCATCCATAAGCCTTCTGCCATTACCAAGCTGACCTGTTCTTCTATCCCTCTTCAATGATTCGTCAGCTGATGCCTTAGTACGAGTTGCCTTTTCCATGGCAAACATATCTCCATTCTCACGTTCGGCTTCATCATCAGCATCTTTTAGCAAATAGGTTTGAAATGCTTGCCACTGTCCATCATCTGCTTCCTTATTAGTATTTTTCTGTTTGACCACTGAATAATCCCTGTTTGGAGAAGAGTCTCCACCTCGTCCTTCATCATCAGGACTAGAAGAAGCAGACTGTGATGCATCATCATCTGAGAACTCCTTCCTATTAGAAGTAATGTAGTTTAAGTTCCTTACGACAACTGTTCCTCCCGACTTTTTTTTTCTCCCTGATGATGATCTACCACCTTTACCAGAAGTATTGTGATTGTCCAACTCTGTGTCATCATGAGATCTTGTTCTGGAAGCATCCACTTCCCATGTTGCAGTGTCAGAATAACCTGAATCCCCACAATCCATGGAATGTCGTCTTCGTCTCACTCGTTGACCACCATTATTTACTCTGTTATCTTCTCCAGATGCATATGGTTGCTGAACAAAAGGGGAGTTGCCAGGATAGTTTTGATAATAAGGGATGCCTTGCATGGGGATTCCTTGAACAACGGGCAATGTGCCCGGGGGAGAATTGACAGGCCAGGGAGAGAACATGGGATGTGGAATCTGGCCTTGAAAGTATCCCTGCTGACCTTGTTGTGGCAGTGGTTGATCCATTGTGGCATTCTCATCTGGAACACCATTATCCCTTTTCAGTTCCTTTAATTAAAAATGGGGGGAATGCATTTCATCCAGAAATTTTTTATGTTTGAAGATTATACCTGAACCATGCTCAGCTCCTCCTATCCCATTGGCTCCATTGGCAAGAACGATACCTGATGAATTGACCAGGGAGAATTCTGGCCGGCCAGACATTGCCTCAGCTGCTTCGATTTCCACCCATTGTCCGGTTTCGTGCTTCCTTTTCCACAGTTCCTTGAATTTTACACATGCATCCCTGTCAAACATCAGCTAGTAATCACATGGCTATGGTTTAAGACTGGAAATGACTTCCAATGTTCAAAGAGAATTATGCTTGCCTCATTCGAGATGCCCCAAAGCTTTCAGCAAAAGACATCAAAGGTGCCATTTGATCAACAGTAAAACCTGCCGCTACAGCTCGAGCAAATGCCATTCCCTGCTCTTTCTGTAACACGGTTTTACGTGCCTCAAGAACTTTCTTAAGCTGGAGTCTGAAAAATGAAGCAGTGAACACCAAAGGTTAAACCACAAACTCATGGATAAACCAGCAATCAAGTCATATGAATTCACATTTACAACAAGCCAACTTCTTTTCTATCATAAACCTGAAAAGTTTTACAAACATACAAAGACTCTAGCTTTGATTTTTATGCAATATTCAGAAAGGTGATATAAATTTCTTGGAGCTAATGGATGCTAAACAAAAAAAAAACACATACTTTGAATCTTCTGGCGGCTCATTCGCTTCAGGAGGTGTACCAGGCTGATGCAAGAAAAATAAAGACAATTAAA